TGGCTGGGAGGGTGGGGAGGGACTGGGGTGGATTTCCCAGAGAAGCCGTGGCTGCCCCTGGATCCCTGGAAGTGTCCAAGGCCAGGTTGGAGCAACCTGGGCTAGTGGGAGGTGTCCCTGCCCATGGCAGGGGGTTGGAATGTGACGATCCTTAAGATCCCTTGGAACCCAAACTGTTCTGGATTCCATGAAAACATTTCAAAACCAGCTTTTCAGTGCTCAGGAGAATTTCCCAGGATTTGTTGTGCCCTCCTTGGAGCCTGCTGGGACCTTCCACCGGCAGAGCCACGCTGGCGTGACGGGGATTTTTCCAGCTTTTCCCAGCACCACCTGGAAAGGCTTGGGAAGGGGTTTGGTTTTATTTTTCAGGTAAAAAGCTCTTACAGGTGAGAACTGTGCTCTGAAATCCAAGCTGATCCCTTTGTGTTCCCTGTTCCCAGCAAACCTTTGACAGGACCATGTTGGCCCTGCAGAAAATGCGCAGGAAACGCGGGATCGTCGGGGCTGCCGGGAAGAACAAACCCCCCTCCTTTCTGCGCATCCTGTAGCAGGCTGGGCTCAGCCTGGATCCCAGCATCCCCTAAGGAATGCCAGCTCACAAAAGGGCCTCGTGCTTGTGTCCACCATCGATCTGTAAAAATAAACACTGGGAAAATCAAAGCATCCAACCTTTGTGCAGGTTGGGACAGTCACTGGGAATCGATCCCGCTGTTTGCACGGGACACGAGCCAGGGAGTTCAAACACCCCTGGTTTTCCTGAGCCTCTGGACAACTCAGGCTGCTCCCACCTCCCTCTTTCCTGGTGCTGGAGCCACTGGTCTCCTGGGCTTGTTGCTGTTGGAGCAACAAGTCTTTGCTGGTTGGATCCGCCTGGAGAAGGGAATGAAACAATTTATGGGTAATCATGGAATGGTTTTGATTGGAAAAGCCCTCCAAGATCGAGTCCAACTGTTCCCCCAGCACTGCCAAGGCCACCACTGACCATGTCCCCAAGTGCCACATCCACAGGGCTTTGAAATCCCTCCAGGGATGGGGACTCCACCCCTGCCCTGGGCAGCTGTGCCAGGGCTGGACAGCCCTTCCCAGAAAAGAATTTTCCCTAAAATCCAACCTAAACCTCCCCTTGAGGTCGTTCCCTCTCCTCCTGTCCCTTGTTCCCTGGGAGCAGAGCCCGACCCCCCTCAGCTCCCCCCTCCTGTCAGGGGGTTGCAGAACCAGAAGGTCCCCCCTGAGCCTCCTTTTCTCCAGGCTGAGCCCCCCCAGCTCCCTCAAAATTATTTGGGAAGCTGGAATTATGATGCTGAAATCTCCAAAGTGCTCCATGGCCATCAGGAACATCCCAGTGCCCAAACCAGCGCCAGCCATGGTGGGATCATCCCGAATTCAAGTATCTCAGGTCGGAGGTTTTCCATACGCTCCGTTTCCACAGAACACTGGGAAAATTAATAATTCCACAGTGTTCAGTTTGGTTCTATTCCCATAACAGCACTTGCTTCCCAGAAGGGAGTTGGAGAACAGCCGAGAAATCACCTTTCCTTTGGAATTATCTATTTCCAAAGGCTCATAAAGCTGCTGCAAATTCAACCCAGGCTGGATTTCCCAAGAAAACACTTCCACACAATCGGATCTAAGCCTTTCCTTTGTCCATCCACCCCTCCCCTGTTTCCCACCCAATCCCTGTGGGTCCCTGCTGCCCGTGCTGTGCTCCCAAATCTGGGAAAATCCTGAAAAATCTCAATATTGGAAGCTGCAACTGTGTTTTGGAGGCTCCTGTGTGAGCAGGAAGGTCCTACTGCATCCCAAAAACAGGTGGGTCTCCTGGGCTGAGCTCCCTGGAGGAGCTTTCCCAGGGTTTGGGAAGCTGGGAAATGACCTGTGAAAGCAAAAGAGAGTTTTTAGGGTTTTTTTGGACATTTCTCTCTGAACATCCAAGGGATCCCCCCCAGCCTGGGGGCAGGAGCAGCCCCGGGAATGTGGTGCCAGTGGTGCCGGTATCCAGGCTGTGATCCCAGGGTGTGATCCTGGGGGTGCCCATGATCCAGGAGGAGATCCCAGGCTGCCAGTGATCCCTGTGTTCCGGGAATTCCAGAGGTGTGGTGTCCTGTGGTGCCAGTGTCTGGGGGTGTGGGTGATCCCGGGGGTGATCTGGGAGTGCTGGTGATCCTGGGAATGATCCATGGGGTGTGGGTGATCCCAGGGCTGCTGATACTGGACTATGGAAGATCCCGGTGTGCCAGTGCCCCAGGGTATGGGAGATGCCAGGAAGGCAGATCATCCCAGATTCCAGGGGTGCTGGTGTTCCATGGGTGATCCAAGGGCCTGGTGATCCCTTGACTGATCCTGGCAATCCCAGAGGTGACACCAGTGAGATCCTGGTGTGGTCCTGGGGACATCTCAGTGATCCTGGGGGTGATCCCAGGGTGATGCTGAGGAGATCCCAGGAAGATCCTGGTGGTTCCGTGAGTGATCCAGGTGTAGCCCTGGTGATCCCAGCAGTGCTGCAGCTCATCCAGGTGTGATCCTGGTGATCTCCCATCTGATCCCGGTGAGATCCTGAAGATTCCAGGGGTGATCCCAAGGAGATCCCAGGGATCCTGTGCCGGGTGCTGGTGTGGCCCTGGTGATCACGGGGGTGATCCCAGTGTGGTCCCAGTGATCCTGGGGAGATTTTGGTGATCCTGTGGCTGATCCTGCTGTGGTCCAGCTGTCTGTTGTGGTCCTGGTGATCCTGGGGGTGATCCAAGTGTGATCCTGAAGGGATCCTGGTGGTTCAGTGGCTGACCCCAACAAGATCCCAGCAGTCCTGCTGCTGATCCTGGGGGTGATCCTGATACGTCCTGAGAAAATTCTTGTGGTGCTGCAGCTGATCCTGGTGATCCCATGGCTGATCCCGATGGGATGTTGGTGACACCGTGGCTGATTCTGGTGTGACCCTGGTGATCCTGGGGGTGATCCTGGGGGTGATCTTGGGGATGATCCCGATATGGTTCCAAAACCAACCCAGTGGTGCTGCGGCTGATCCCGGCAATCCCATGGCTGATCCCAGTGGGGACCCAGTGACACCGGGGTTGATTCCGGTGTGGCCCCGGTGATGCCAAGGGGTGATCGGGGGGGTGATCCCGGTGTGGTCCCGAGAGACTCCCGGTTGGGCTGCAGCTGATCCCGGCACTATCCCGGTGCCACTGCCAGTGTGTCCTGGTGCCAGTGTGTGTCCTGGTGCCGGTGTGTGTCGGTGCCGCTCCCGGTGTCGGTGCCGGTGTGTCCCGGTGCTGGTGTGTGTGTCCCAGTATCAGTGTGTGTCGGTGCCAGTGTATATGTCAGTGTGTGTCCCGGTGTTGGTGTGTGCCGGTGTCGGTGTGTGTCCCGGTGCCGGCGTGTGTGCCGGTATATATGTCGGTATATATGCCGGTGTGTGTCCCCGTCCCGGTGCCGGTGTGTGCCGGTATATATATCGGTGTATATGCCGGTGCGTGTCCCTGTCCCGGTGCCGGTGTGTGTCCCTGTCCCGGTGCCGGAGCGCGCCGCGGCCGCAGCGGAGCGGCGGGAGGAGGAGCCGCGGCCGGGGCGGATCGCGGCGGGGCCGGGCCGGGCTGGGCGCGGGTGGCGGGGGGGCCCCGCCGGACCATGTGAGGAGCCCCGACGGGGCGAGCGGGGCCTCCCCGGCCAGGGGGCACTTGCGGAGCCCCGCGCCCGCCCACCCACCATGGGGGATTTCTACGACCCGGAGCACCCCACGCCGGAGTAAGCGCGGGCCCTGCGCGGCCTCGGGCCCGCCGGCGCCGGGCAGCGCCGGCCGCGGGCAGCCGGGACGCTTCCCCTTCCCATTCCCCTTCCCTTCCCCTTCCCCCTTCCCTCTCCTACACCCCTTCCCTTCCCCTTCCCCGCTCCCCGTCCCCTTTCCTCCGCTCTCCCTCCGGCCCGGGGTAGGCCGCGCATCCCCGGCCTTGCGTGATGGCCGCGGCCGGGGCGGGCGCGGGGCGGGCGGGCAGCGCGGGGCGGGAGCGGCCGCGCCGGGGGCGGCGGGGCGGGGGGGGCCGTGTCCCCTCGTTCCCTGTGTCCCGCTTTCCCGGTGTCCCCCCCTTTCCCTGTGTCGCCCTTTCCCTGCCCCTGTGCCTGTCCCTGTCCCGTCCCTGCCCGGGGGAGCGCAGGGGGAGCCGGGCGGAGCGTGCGGACGTGTCCCGGCCTCCCGGCGGGGCCATTTTTCACCACCACCTTTATTATTGTTGTTATTACTATTAACATTATTTTTTCCTGCTTAGCGAGCCCCGTCTTGATTTTACGCCTTGAATCCTGCCCGGCCCCGGGCGGCCCCTGCCCTGACCCCATTTTCTGCCAGGAGGAAGGAGCCAGGGAAGGGGGAGCAGTTTAATGGCCGGGAACTCTGGTTCTCCTCTGGATGGGGAATTTCTCCAACACACCCCCTTTATCCCGCCAGGGCCTCCGGCTTTATCGCCTCTCCTGAGCAAAGTCACTCCTTCCCTGCTGGATTTCTCGCCCCCTCCCCCCCCCCCCGCCTTTTCCTGCTGGTTCTCAACGCTATTTTTACATTTTTAGACTTCCTTGGCAAAGCATTCGGGGGCTCCGTAAACTTTGCCGGCTCTGGAGCAGACACCTGGCACGGAGCCCCCCCCCCGTGCGGTGGTGGGATTGGAGGAAAAGCTAAAAATAGTGGGTTTTTTGAGCAAGGACAACAGAGCAAACCTTTTCTGAGCGGATTCTGGCCATGCCCACCTGGAGCAGCTGAGGAACAGCTTCCCCTTGTTCCAGCGAAACGGTGCTGGTGGCTGAGCCGTCTGAAATTAGTGGGAAATGGAGGATTTGATTCAGAATCCAGGCTGTGTTTTGCTCCTGGGGCGGGAGAACCTGGACTAAAGCCTGATTTGCTTCAGCTGAGCCCTGGGGGGGAGTGACTGTCCCCTTCCCGAGGGACCCTCTGGGTCCAAAGGACTCTCCAGTCGATCCCAAAAGTTTTGTCCTAATTTAGGTATCTCACCTTTGAAGTTTGGAGTGCTGGGAGGGATCCTGGCACCGTGGGCTGGGCTGGCACGTGGGATTTGGGATCCCAAAGCATCCGGGTTGTCTCATGTTTGTTGTGTGAAAATGTCCAGTGGTGCCGACCTGGGCTGCTGGAACGGATTCCCTGACGGCTTTCTAAAGGAATTCCTAATTAATTGGCCCGATTTTGGGGTTTCCTGGGGGTGTCAGTTCCGTGCTGGAGCTCGGGAAGTTTTCAGGAGTGCCCTGGTGTTTTTAGGAGTTGTGTTTCCCCGTCCCTGCCACGAATCCCGGTGTTCCCCATGTGTCTGTGCTGTGTTCCTTAATGCTGGGTCTTAATTTGGGGGTGCTCTTCCCGGCACAGGAGCTTTTCCCTGGAGAAGAGGATTATTTGGGATTACTAGGTCGTTAGAAATGTCCCAGGATGTGTTGGGTGTTTGGGAAGAGTGGAATTAGAACCAAACCCCGGTGGCTGTGGGATGTGCTGCCCGAGACTGTGGCTTTCCCTGTCCTGTGCCCGCTTGGGGGTGGGATGAGGAGGGATGTGCTCAGT